GAATGCCAGGAACTGCTGCAATACCAGGAACTGTAGCTGAAACTACACAGGAAAATTAAAAATCAGTGCAGGTTCTTGAAGTCAGCCTGCAAAATAAAGGAAACCAGAAGCAACATCAGCGAATGACAACTATTCTGCCTCACCGTCTTTGACGAGTGAGTTCAACACGATCCTAAACGAGTTATTTTTCTATCTATAAGGTAGACCAAGACCAAGTAGTACAAATCCAAAACAGATCCTTTACAAGAGCATCAAATGCCTAACTTAGTAAGAAATGATAGTTTAAAAAGTGGAAGGCATTTTCATATCCATAAACAGTAAAATTCCCAAATTAAAATGTGGACTGCTTGAGTAATGTTGGCTTGTAACAACAACTAAGATGTCCACAGTCACTTCTTTCAGGAAAAAAAGGAATGTATTAATTAGACAAAACTCTGAGGAAAAATGCCACAGATATTTTAAATCTTTTTCTTCTCACAGAAACGCTGACATCTCTTCCCTCCTGACAAACAGTGACAAAACTGAATATTCTGACGTTACAAAGTAGAAGACAAATTGGCCTAGAAATCTGAAAATGATCTGGAAAGACCAAAAAGAATTTCTATTTAATGACCAGGTGTCAGATAGTTTTAATTTCTTAGCAACTGAGAGACATTTCCAATCCTTTAAGCTACAAAACAAAGCACAGAGACAGCAAATAAGAACCCCCTAGGAAAAGTGAGAAGTCAGAGAGAAAAGTACACTTCTAGTCCAATATCTACCCAAGTAAAACTTAAGTGGGGAGCACTCTCCTTTACTATACAGCAACGCTGACAATAAAACTGAACTATCTGACGATAGAGATGGTCATTTATCAGCCTCAGAGCTTACAGACAGATACGCAGAGGTTCAAATACAACCTTGACCTAAAAGAACTCTTGTCTAGGGAAAATGCAAGCAATAACAGACAAACAGCAGGAAAGAACTGGAAGAGCATACACTTCCAGTGTCTATAGGGACAATTAGGCTCATATCAGAGGGCCTCCTCGGCATTGCTCGCTCAAATTAAAAGAAAGACTGCACGCCCTAACTACGTAAAGAAGAAAACAAGAAAACATTTAACCTTCTACATGCAAGGATCCTTGTCTACAAAGCCTAAGTGGCGGGAGAGTGGAACCATTTAAGAAAATTAAAACCAAACAAAGGCCCTAGTGTTCGGTTACCACTCTGCCAGAGACGTTTCTTTAATCTGTGCATCTTCATGGTCTTGAGGTAAGGCCCAGTTTGGAAAGAATGACAAAATCTTCACAACTTCATAAAACATAAGCTTTTGCCTCTTTTTTCCCCCCATATTTAGGCTACTAAAAGTCGACTGTGAACTTCTGTTAGGATTGCAGGTGTGTAATTTTAAGAATATCATCAAGTTTTTGAAGCCACACACAGCAGGTCTATGTTTTCTTATGGTTTTCTTTTGAGCTTTCATCTTTGACAAGTTGCTCTGCTGATTCTTCAGACCTTGAGAGGATCCCTGCCACAGAACTGATACTTATTATTCAATGGTTAGGAAAACAATGCATTTTGTCAGAAGAAAAGCTCTAGATGAGATTTCAGTCGCAATCTCTGTGCAGAGGTCTGTAGAAGAATTAGCTGGCTAACGGATTTTGGCCCATATCATAACAACTAAAAGTTGTGAAAAGACGATGAGTATGTACGTGCAAGTCTCAGTGTAGGCAACACAAAAAAAAAAAAAAAAAACTGATCTCCAACTTTAAATTGACATCCCCTAACAGGATATGGAGCGTTATCAACTATCACGTGAAAGGCTGACCCGCTGAGAAGCCTGTTACCCACCCTGCATCTCTTGTAACAATAGCACTGCAAAACACAAGGCATGTGGGGCTAAAGATACCCTAGTTCCAGTTTCTGGAAATACAGAAAAACAATCAAGGCAGAATAAACCTGAAACCACAGACTGCATCCCATTGGTGTGAATGGGAACTGATTAACAGCCCATTTCTGACTTCCAAGAAAAATACCTACTTAGACATCTTTCTGTACCAAAAGTGGGCAAGGCTAAATCAGTAGGTGACAAGACCTGGAGAAAGGACTCGTGCATAGTCATACCATATACGAGAACAGAAAACTTAACCTAATGTAAGAAAACAAATTACATGATATATCAGAGTTCTGCTGAAATGGAAATTCAAAGAACAGAGATAACAAGACTCATTCTTATTAGCATAAACAGAAATGGAGAGTGACCTCACAAAGTCAGGACAGTCGCATCTGAGTCTGAAAGGGAAATACTGTTCACACAAGAAAGCAAAAAATAGGAAACTGGGACAGAACAGTTTCCCACCAAAGATAGCAAACATATGGAAACTTGGCACAGCAACGAAAGAAACAAAATCTGTAAGTAAGCTCAAGGGAAACTCAGCTATTTTTTGAGGGGGGAAGGGATTGAGGGAAATGAAATAGCTATAGGAAAATAAAACCACTGCAAAAAGGGGGAGGGGGAGGGAGAGACATCTTCAGTATTTTACTTTTTAATTTTCTTTAGAAGGCTGTCATTTTTTCCACCTAATATTAGCGTTTAAGCCCAGTCCTTGCAAATACTTACCAGTGAATATCATTTTCAATACTACAAATAGTCTCAAAGTACTATATAGACACTCTTTGCAGGGCTGCTTTGTTACTATGTGGTAACAAAACACTAATCCATGTTTGCGTTCAGCAACATTCTTTGCAAAAATCATAAAACAAAATGAATGTATTCATTTTGACTAAGAGGTTAGTCAGTCAAAAACTCAGAAAAAACAAAGGCCGTCCCAGTTAAGAAGGAAAAATGGTGGTGGAATTTGGCTGTTTCTCTGAAGAAATTCTAGTTACTTAAAAAGAACATACAAATCGTATTTCCATAAAAAGAAAAGAACAACCAGCAAGAGAAACTGCTGCTGAGCATGCATTTTCAAAATGTTTTCAGCCAGCATTCAAGTACAAAACTCTTTTTAGACCTTTTTTTTTTTTTTTAAAACAGTAACATTCCCAGGTTTTTCTTAGGTTTTATCTAGTGCTTCTCTCTAGGCAAACCTCTCTAGCCTTCTCTCCCTAACCTCTGCATTTTCTGCCGTTCCTTGAACACAATATACCTCTTCATAAAACACCATCAGACAGAAATGCTTCTATTCCCACGCAAGCACATTTTTGGGGCACTGACAATGCTTGTATTCAAACTTTCTACTGCTTATTAAATAACTTTACAGTTTCTCACAACTCTCTTACTAGGGAAGGGGTAACTAACAGTCTGGCTTCACAACACGCTACCATGGGAAGGCAATTTAACAGTAAATATCTGCTTAAACACATTTTAAAACCAAGGTGATTTACAATACTGAAGTGTACCTTATTCTCCTTGTATCTACTAAGATCTGCTATACAGTATTCTTTGAATAATTTATCATAATACTTCTTCGCAAGCCTCTTCTCCCTGAAACAAAAGGCATTATTTTTATTAAATACAGAACATAATATAATTCATTTTACGTTGCAATAGCACTAGCAAGACAAGGACACATTGTTCCATCTGAAGAACACAGGCTGCAAAGCTAGAAACGCAAAGGAAATACACTCAATGAGCTAAGGAGCAATTCCCAAAAAACCGGAAAATACTTCTAAAGTATATCTATACCACAAAATAAACTGCGATTTTTCAAACTACGTTTCCTTCACAGTTTTCAGAACAGTCATTTGACTCTCAGAGAATGCACAAATATTTGTTAGCTTTCTGTCACCAATTAATTTTGCCACTAAGTGGTATTACTGTACTTCCTAAAGGTCCTTCATTTTAAAATGTATTAAAGATCCAAGAATGAACACTTAAGTATGCACAGTAATTCTTAATAAGGACACCCCAAATTTAGTACAAAGTGATCTAAAAATAAGATGTCTTATAAAAGTTCTAGTTACCAATTCATGTCTACTTCATCATCTTCTTTCCACAGGAATCTATGGTTTTCTCTTATAACATCAAGATCCGTCTTGTCATTTGCTCTATAAAAGGGCACCTTTTTTTAGTACAATATAGCATTAAAATGAAAAGTCAGTCACACAGTAATTAGACAAACATCCCTATTTCATAGTTTTTATCTCCAGCTCACTGCATAACAGAATATACTGCCATTGAATAGAAACTATTCAAGTAGATATTACAAGCTGGTATACCTTTTCACAAAAACAAAACAAAACAAAAAACAGTGGCAAATAGCCACTGAAACTGTGGATGACTTGATTCTGTCTGAAAATACTTTTTAAGAAAACAGTTACGTTAGAAGGCAGTTATGTAGCGTTCTGAGGGAGGAGATTGTTATTCTGGACAACGGAGAGTAATTCTGCACGTTTCACAGTTATTCCAGATTGATATGCTCAAGGTACTGCCAGAAATTTCTCAATGTACCTTCCTAAAAATTAACGTTTACCTGTCATCTTTCCTTTTACATAACAAAACAAGAAAAATTCAGCTCACGGCAAGTTCTTCTAAAAAATAACGGTGCAAAATGAAACAAGACAGTCAACAGTTCTGTGTTTTGGAGATTTACAATTACTACAGTTACTCCTTGTGAACAAAACCATTAACAATTTGATATACAAAAAAACCCCTTATATTACAGCATATATTTAACAGCTTTACATGACAGGGAGGTTTGGGGGCAGTGAAGGGAAGCTTGCTAATGGTTCTTACCTGGAACGTCGGAAATCCTCCCTTTTGCCACCATAGTATAAAATGTAGTCATTCACAAACTTTTTATGTCTTTCATACTGAATAAAGTAATTAAGGATTCAGTTTCAGTGCTTGACTTCTTCTATTTTACCACTAGTTTAAAACTAAGAGAATAATAAATGTTTTTATGAAAATATAACCGAATAAAAAACAAAACAAACAAACAAACAAATAACAGAAAGAAGCTTTTTCCTCAAAAGCAGTTTAGTAGTTTCCAGAAAGAAAGGAGTTAACTAGCAATTTTCACTTTACAAACTTTTATAAAGGTTGCATTTCAAATATAAGAACTCAAGGCAATTTAATCTTTAAAACCCTGTTCACCTGCCAGACATTTATAATCTTCTTTTTTTAAAGATGCTCTATAAGCATACACATAGAAGCTGGGTTCAATTCTTCTGCTGTAATTTGGAATCGAGCTTATTGGTAATGCCATTTAGGTTTAAAATAGTATGGCTACCAAAATCAAATAATTTATTACTTTTTAGCATTAACATAAAAATAAAAGTTACCTGCTTTAGTTTGACTCTGAATCTGAAAATCAAAGGTAAATATGTAACGCTTTTCTAACGCTTTGGCCTTAGACACATGCTTTGAAACACATTTTGTACCACAATAGGAGCCAACATATATAACTACTTATTTGGAAAATAAGCAACTTCACATATCAAAACAACAGATATATATGGTTATTTAAAAACATTTTCAATTAACTTGTCTGGTGTTTACGAAATAATAAATCAGGAAATACATTATCTCCAGGGACATATCCAGGCAACTATTATATCAGTGTGAATAAGAGTAATTTTTAATCAACCTACTATTTTGATATGAATTTGAATAATTTTATTGAGAAACCACTTTCCAAAGAAAACTCAAAAATAGTACATTTAGTATATATTTTCTGTTTTTTCCCCACCACAAACAGAAGGAACAGAACAGACAATTGTGAAGCAAGCCCAGAAGGTATAACTGGCACAATTAAACACATTTAATACAGCATACTATTTTGTACTGCCATTTGATTTATTAAATACTGTAATAACTGTAAAGGTCTTAAAGAGAAACCACTCAAAAACATTAGCAGAAACTCATAAAAGAGACTCTACACAACAAGTCACGCAGCCGCTCCAGAATATACGGGCTCTTCTGTGGCCAGTGATAGTCTACAATCTCAGTGAGACTGATTAAGACATGTCCCCTTTCCAGGCATGAGAAGGTATACGTAGCTCCTGACCAAATTCAAATGCTGGTTAGGAGGAGTTACTTTCTGCTTACTTGAATTTTCAGACTAAAGCAACTCTTACCATATTTAATTTATTCTGTACTTGCCTATTTAGTAACTTCTACCGCTGAAGAACAGCTGTTTAAACAAACAAGGAACTGACAATATTTTGGATAAACCTAGTTAAAACGTGTAATAGCTGTCCCAGGTGAAAACTAAATAAAAGGGGAAATTCTGTAAACTAAATCAAGCAGCAGTTATAAAAGCAGTTACAAATGATGCATGAAATACAATTAAGAGGTTCAAAAAGAAAGAACTAAAATAAAACTACACGTGATATGAGACAGGCTTACAGCAGAGCATCTGTAGAAGATACTACTGGAGATAATGCTGCTTTAAACAGTCTTTTGAATTAATTAATGTGTTTCTGTATTTCAAGTACAAATTTATTTGTCCAAAGATAATAGCAGCCTTGTATAGAATTACATTTTATGTACAGTCAAATGAAAAGGCAAAGCCTCTTTCTGCCAGTCTAAATAAATGCACTGTATAGTAACTTAGTCCAGAACAAGACAACTGAGCACATAGGAAGAGTGTGGAAATGCCTCTTAATGGGCTGTTTCGAGGAACTACTAAGTATCTGATGCTACACTGTAAATTTCTGTGATAACTGAGAAATCTGAAGGAAAGTTTCCTTGACAGAAATATTTCACCACAGTGGAAAACCTGTCTCCCCATCTTCAAACTTGAAGAAAAGTTTAACAGAAGGATACAGCATCCATAGCTATCAAATGAAATCTTCTTTTTCTTGCTTCTTCCCTGTTAATGACAAATATGTTTGAATAAAGCTATCTTCACATTACTGAAAAAAAGTCTCACAAGAGTGAAAATAAAAGATACCTATCCCATTCTTCAGCTGCAACTTGTCTGTGAGCCACATTGCTTTGTTTTGGTTTTTGGAATGGCTTGACCAGAAGGTCACCTTCCTGTATACTGAGGGTAGGGGGAAAAAAGGGGAAAAATAAGTTAGTCAAGAACTTTTCATAAGCAATAAAACTTCTGTATGCCAAAGTTTGCACTAACTTGAATAACAGTAACTGTTATAGCGCTACTTTTACGTGAACAAACCAAATCTCAGAAGAAACATCAGGTTAGACTGTACTTCATTTGCAGGACAAATCCAGAAAGGCACTTGCTTACAGTTAGCATTTAGAGAAAATTGCTTATAACGGCACCTCTTGATTTTTATGAACGTTACCACTCTAGAACCACACTGAAAAATCTCCTCGGTTTCACTCTACTTTTAAAGCCACGTACAAATCTAGGCTGCATAGCCAAGTTAAAACAGGAAGGACAGTATGTTCATAGAAAAAAAGTGAGTGTTAGTAATCATGTCCCACCCTCTCATGATAATGTCTTGACACTTCATTAACCACCACTGCTTCTCTTAGTGTAGTCACAAGAACTGCTGATTTAAATACTGTCTTGTGAACTGCATTTGTCATTCGGCAGCTAAAAATACTTCCAGTATTTGACATATTAATGAAAAGTTAAATATAAAGTGATGCACTTTAACTAGCCAGAGGTATATTTAGTTAGTTTCAGTCATCACTGTAAGTGAAGAAGAGTTTACCATAATTACTAGCTGGCAGAAAGATAGTCAGAAACCTGTATAAAGCAAGCCAGGGAATTTATATTTCAGTCTGTGAAATATGGGACACTAGAAACTAAGCATATTGTATGCTCAAAAGGATCAGTAGGAACAAAATTCCCATAAGGAGACTCTGAAAAACAGCAATATGCAGAAGACTTAAGACTACCGTTTTCATTAAAGTGAAAATAAATACAACCATATTGCAAGAAAAGGATATATATATATATATGCAGCAAACCCACATTAGAGTCCTACAGGGAATCAGTAGTAGTGTGTCAGAACAAGGGTAAAGATGGTATTTTTGAAAGGCTCCTGACAGTTAATAGCAACCTAGGAATAGGTTCCTAGGAAGTGGAACGCTACAATGTAACGGCATTTGCAAACTAAAACTGAACAAAAACCTTCACTGTTTTAATGCAGAATGCAACAGCACAATGCCTTCTATTATCCCAGTGATTAAGACACTGAAGATTTTGCCCCAGAATGCATTCAGACACTACAAAACCCATTCTTCCAATGGGCTGAAACACTACAGAGGAAAGCATGCAAGCGTCCGAGGAAAGTTTCCAGAAAGCCTTCTTGAATAAAGTCCAATTACAGAGCAAGGAAAAGACAGAAAAAGGTAAGGAAAAAGTGATGTGTAAACATAAACAAAACATTCTGTATTGTGTGCAATGTGGCAAAGGGCAACAGTGCCAAAAAATAAATACATTTAAAAAAAACAACTTAGTAATAGAACGTGATTAGACTACAAAATTCAAGATCACTAATTGTGTGAACCACTGAAATAACCAGCAAAGAAATAAGAGATGTGCAGTTACATTTCAAGGATTGAGTACAACTTCACCAACACAATTCCCAGCTCTCTTGATAAATTAAATAATAAACAAGCAGTATCAGCTTGTATCTTCATTTCTTTCAAGCACGTGTTTTATTTCTAGAAAGCCTGCTGCCACTTGGCCTTTTTTTTCTTTGCTCTCTCTTAGCAGTTCCACGAGTCCTGACGAACTGCAGTAAAGTGAACAGAGCAGACAAATGCCAGCAGTTGATGCTAACGCTTGGAAAAATGAAGCACACTCAGCTGTGCGAACTGAAAGGCAGACAGACATCAGAGGGACATGGCAGAACTGATCCTTCTCAGGTGCCCTTTGGAGACATGCCCTGGCAAACCTGACATAAGGAGATGCAGAAAGCAAACAGATAGGTTGATTTTTCATAAAACTTTTCAACACTAGACTTAACATACTTCGCATAATCTTCTATACTATAGGCCATCTACATGGAATACACAATGCAAAGTGTTAACTCTGTAGTACATTACCTTCTAGTCTTTTGCACAGACTTTTCTCCATTTTCCTCATCACTAAAATCAGAATCATAGTCACCATGGCCATGTACCTGAAAACAGTAACCAATAATGCAGTCAATACACCTGTTAAAGTAATATGGACAAAACTTAACTAGAAATCAGTACTGTGCATCATGCACAAGCAAGAGAGCGAGTGAGTGCAAATACTCTCATACGTCCAAACCAAACACAAGGGACAATGCAGAGTATTTTCCAAATAACACAGGGCAAAGGAACTGTGGTTTCTCACAGACTTCACTAGTCAAAAAACACTTTATAAATAATTTATGTACAGATATTCCCATATTTAATCTTCATGCAAATGCAGATAACTAAAAGACGGATAAACATCTTTGGCCTTTCTTTTCAAACAATCCCCCTTATGTAGGAAAAAGGTGAGTATTTTCCCCCAGGAGCTGCTCTTTTAGAAGCCTGGAGGACAGTAAATGATGTGCTCACATTAAAAACAAAGATAAGAAAAAAAAGTTTGTTGGCAGTGGTACAACGTTATAGATCGCTAGATCTTACATCGGTAGTCGGAAAGCTGGTTGTCATGATAATTAAAATACCAAACAATAAGATTTCTGGGAAAAACACAAGGTCTAATCAGCACCATTTTTGCAAAGAACATTCATACTAAGAAATAAACTCTTTTATTCCACACGCTTTGGGACTACAATGTCAAACTAATGGATATAAAACCACAAAATATCGCATATCTTAACGTTATCAAATTATCAAGCGCTGGTTGAACTCCAGATCTATCATCTCTGTTTTTCAGGGCATAGTTACACATCCAACTCTTTCAGCAGAAGCCACTGCTAAAGTAGACCAACTTCCCTCCCAATCTCCCTCCCCGCTGCTCTTGCACTGTCTTTCCAGTTGCTCAGTTGCAAAGGTTTGAGAAACTATAGGTGAAACAATCAAAGAACTGATCCAGGTTACAAACGATCCTATCCAAAGAAGATTATTTTAACGCAGATAAGTTCCCTGATACAGTTCACCCAGAGCCCCACACCCAGCTATGTCAGCCAACTGGAGGGGTAGCACAGGGACAGGACAACTAGAGCTGGGAACTGCTTAAACTGGCACTGACACCAAAAAAGCCTTTACATAACTGAAACATTTACATCATTAGAGCTAACAACAAGAGAGCTGGTTACTACATAGCTGCATGCGGAAAGGTTTGGCACATACTCTGCAAGTATCTTGGTAATTCCTGCGGTGGACAGGAACAGAAAGCCAACGTATTTGATTCAGTGTTGTTGATTCCTATGTTTCCCATAATCATATTCCTCCTCAGACAAAAAACAGAAAATCTGCAAACTTCCTCTTGAAAGTGAAAAAGAGCTTTCCAATAGACCTATAGGGCAATCAAATAATGAAATCAAAGCTCTTCCACCAATCTGCAACTTCTTTGTTGTGACTTTGTTTGTTTGGCATTCAGATGCTACTATAATAAAGCAACAAAAACAGCAGCATCGGAAAGAAAGCAAAAAGGCACCATTTCCATGAACTTCAGAGTTACTTCCAAGATTAAGCTTTGGACAGAGTACTTCAAAACAATTAATTTCAGAGTCTTGGGCAGTATTAGAGAAAAAAAAAAAAAGATGCAGGAGCCTAACTACAGTAGCTGAAAAAAAGACGCATTGTTAGGGACGATTTTGATGAGGTTCCTCATCTGGATGCAAAGGGTCAACAGCATCCTCTGTTGACATCAACAATTGTTCTGCATCGTAGAGACTATGTAAAACACTATCTTTTCACTGTGATGCTCAAAGACTGTGTTTTTTAAACTCATTTTTATTTGTACCAGATTTTATCTTTTTTTCTTGCTTTAACACTATCATGTTATTTACTTGAACTCTCCTAAAAACAGATATCAAATTGCCACAGCTCTCATAGAAGTACACATTTGAACAAATGCAAATCAAAAAATTCTAATTTGCCTTTACGTTTTCTATTTATCATGAGACTCATACAAAAAAACAAAACAGTCAAAAAAAGAAAAGGGCTGCAGATGTCTGCAGTGCTCTGGTGTAAGTGGGCCTCATGCTCTTAGGAAAGAGCAGCAACGGTGCTTAAGTTCTCTCAGCACGGTCCCATGATAATCCACATTTCAGCAGCAGGTTTCACAGCTGAGGTATTTCTAAAAGCAAGCCAGTCACTATTTTTATTAATGACTCTTATGTGATCTCTATGAAAAGCTGAATACATTATGAGTGTGATTAAACATATGTGCAGCAAGTATTTTTATGCTTGGCTTCTAAATCTTAAGAATATGACAATAATACAGGAAATGTTTTACATAGCAAAAATAATGCTTCCTTTACATTGAAAGAAAAGGGGAAAAGTCCTCACTTTGAGGACTTTTTGAAAGTCAACATGAGACAGATAAAATATAAGAACAGGCAGAAAAAATCTTGAATAAAAGGAGAGAAAGGTTCTTCCAAAGTGATTGCCCATGGATGATCAGCCCCAGGAAAGAAGTAGATATAGTCAGTAATCAGCTCCCAACTGGCACAGTTTAAGTTCTCAGGAATTAATTAAAAAAAAAAAAAGATGGTGCAAGAAAAGCCACTCCAGCAGAAGCATACTGCTAGGGGCTCTCAGGAGCTGATGACTGCCTTTTTGGAAAGCTGTGCCTGCAAATATAAGGGCAAGTATGGCTAAATACTGGGTCCTGAAAGGCTGTTCTCCTGCCAGGACAATCATCACAGCATCAGGCTTTCCTCCAAATCACTACAATAGTCAACGATACATTGGGGGGAAAAAAAAGAAAACTCACAACCGAGGTCCTGACACTTGCAGACCACTCCTCCTCCAAAGGCAATAGCCGAAGAGACAAATACTGTTCTTAAATTGTATTTTTACATTAGCAGTTCCACTGCTGCTGGAAGGCGTTCGTGGACAGCGACTGAACAACTGCCGAACTAACGCCATATGATGATACCAAGATGAGGTGACTTGTAGGTAAGACATAAAAATGAACTCCTTATCTGTCAAAGAATCTCATCCATGGGCGAATGCTGCCAATTTTTTTTTTTTTTTAATTTTGGAAGGACACTGTAAACATACACCTGTCTGGTGTTGTGAAGTTTACTCGCTCAAGACCTATTTCGCCCCTTCCTCACAAAAAAATAAAATAAACAAAAAGAAAGCAAGCCGAGACAAGTAAAAGGTATTTAACTGTAGTAGAGGACAGGCAGCAACCAAAGCCTGGGCTTCAGGAGCCGTCCCGGCTGAAAGGCAGGATGCGATGCAGTCGGGATGGCACGCTTGACTGCAAAGTACTCTTCCCACTTGGGGAACAAAAATTCACAGTCAAGTTTAATTAGTTTTAAACCCGCTGCTCCTTTCAAAAGGAACTAAGTTTTAAATACAGCTATTAACATCCCTAACAAAGGGGGGGG